CTTTTTAGTGAACCATTGCTGCATATTGTATCCACACTTCATTTCGCTATTCCTTGAGGATTTCGCAGAATTTCCATTTCCAGATGGTGCATCTCTGTCTCTCTCTCTCCTGGAATCCCCTAATTTCTCCGCTTGAAATATTGCTTTTTTTTGCAGCAACAGCAGCGATATCTGCCACATGTGAGTTCGCGCTGCTATGGCCCCCCAGAATTAGGATGTACAGTTCACGATTGACATCTAGCACTTCTTATTTTAGTTTTAGCTCGTAACTTTTTGTATGTGTTTCTGTAACATGTTATGTTACGTAAGTAAAGAACAGCAGGTAAAGGGTGGCGTCATGCTTTGGCGCATTGACATTGTCATTGGCAGATGAAGTGGTCTCATGAATATTTTGATGGTTTTTTAACATTGGAATATTTGCAGGCAACAAAGGATGCAGGTAAAATAGCTGGTTTGAATGTGCTGCGTGTAATCAACGAGCCAACTGCAGCAGCTTTATCATACGGACTCGATAAAGCCGAAGATAAAATGTAAGCTTGCAACAAGTTACACCATTCGATAAAGTGCCGCATAGGCGACCTTGAGCCGTGTTTGAATCCAAAATGGCAGACGAAACATCAAAGACATGTTCCTGACTCTCTTTATTTTCTCTTTTCGTCTTTTCTCCGCTTTCTTCTGACTTTTTTTTGGAGGATCGTGCTGCTTTTGTTCATATTAGTATTCAGTAACCTATAAATTGAGCTTCGGATGGCGCATGAAACATACAGAAATTACTTTAGGCCAAAATATTCACTGAGCGAACAGGAGGTAGCCGGAAAGAGTTGAGCGTTAGTTCCAAAAGGGAATGAATGTAGCTATCGAGAAAATGTGTGATTTTCCAGCGTGGGAAAGAGGAGGAAAAAAAAATATTGCTTTCTAATCGGGGCGAGAAAGCTTACGGCCAAAATTGACGTACGTAGATATTAATATAATTAGTTTTTTTTATTCGTTTGCTCTAGGCATTGACATGTTATTGGACTGTGTCGTAGGCAAAGCGCCAGTGAAAATCAATTTTTCAGCATTGCGGTTTATGATTTGGGCGGTGGCACGTTCGATATATCAGTGCTTGAGATCCAGAAGGGTGTCTTTGAAGTGAAGTCAACCAACGGCGATACGTTCCTTGGGGGCGAAGATTTTGACAACGCACTTGTTAATTATCTTGCTGCTGAGTTTAAGAAAGATTCCGGAATTGACATTCATAAGGTTTGAAGTTCAGCTTTCTCGGCATTTCACACGTGTCAGTGTACATCAAAATTTAACTGTCTTTGTTATTCGTATGAGACAGCGGTAGTGAGTATTAACGCTAGAATGCTCGAAAAATGCACAGGAAACAGACTGAAAGTGCTTGCGTTTCTCAGTTTGTTGAGCCGAACTGATTGCTTCCCCAGCATTATCATCATCGGCTTCTTGAGCTGCTGTGGGTGCGGGAGGGAGGGAGGGGGTGGAGAGGGTGGGGGGCTTGATGGTGAATCAGAAATTAAAGCGCACTGAATTTGAAAAGCTTTTTATCAATCGAACGGTCGATCCATGCCGCAAAGCGATACCTGACTGCCACTTTCCCACAGCGTTCTTTGTAGCTACAGAACAAGAATGAGTGCGTTCATGACAGTGATGAATTTTTCTTCACTTTGATCCGAATTTTATTGTGGAGGAAAGCGATTCTGAGTCATGAACATGTAGCTGTAAAGGGAACCGACAACTGTTTCTGATTTCCTCATAATTGCCGTATGAAATGCTTTGAAGGACCCAATGGCGATGCAGCGCCTTCGTGAAGCTGCTGAGAAGGCGAAGTGCGAGCTTTCGTCAACAACACAGACCGATATCAATCTGCCGTATCTGACGATGGATTCGTCCGGGCCGAAACATATGAATCTGAAATTGAAGCGCGCAGAGTTTGAAAAGCTTGTGGCTGATCTTATCAAGCGAACGGTCGATCCGTGCCGCAAAGCGATGCATGATGCAGAAATAAAGCCGTCTGACATTGGCGAGATTTTACTTGTTGGAGGAATGACCAGAATGCCGAAGGTATGTGTTTCATCGTTTATTTGTGCCTGATTCCGTACACATCCAGTGATATGTTGAAGGATTCGCAAAATGTTTAATTTTGAAAATGGAAGGAATCGGTTTTTAGAAAGTTGTAATCGACACAGCGGGTACTCCATTTTCATCGATTTGGATTTGCAGATCGAGTCTGATGGGGTACCACGAAATAAACGGTTCCCTGCCTCCCACTGGTACTGTGATGAAGATAGTGGATAATCTCAGTTAAGTTGGAATTGACTGATACAGCACTTCCTTCGTTCCTCACCTTCCCTGATTCGTTCCAGCCGCCAGTATCTCTTTTTCATCAGCCGTTGGAAAATAAAAGGAACGATCCTGTTTGGTCTTTTAAGGTCCAGCAAACTGTGCAAGAAGTATTCGGTAAGCAGCCATCGAAAGCAGTGAATCCAGATGAAGCAGTGGCTATTGGTGCGGCCATACAAGGTGCCGTGATGGCTGGTGATGTGACGGATGTTCTGTTGCTCGATGTAACACCACTTTCATTGGGCATCGAAACACTCGGTGGCGTGATGACCAAGCTTATCCAGAGAAACACAACCATACCTACAAAGAAAAGCCAGGTTTGTTGTTTGATTGTCGAGCACTCTGGTCAGATTCTTGTTTCACCCGTGGGCTTTGATTGCTATATACATTGCACTACCTCGCGTTAGATTTGAAGTCTGTCATTATTGGTAGTGAGTTTTTGCTTTTCATTCCAGATTGCGTTGAGCAAAAGTTCCTCGCAGTTTTAGAGCTTCTGAATGTCTCGGCGCCTACTCTTTCATAGTTCCCTTTTCATAATCATTGTACAAATTTTCATCACCTGGCGGTCGTCCTGTTACTGCTAATCTTGGTATTTGCTTCCCTGCTGTTTAATTTAGATGGGTGCTAGTATATGTCAGTCTGTTCACTTTCTGCGTTTTGTGAAGTTTTGGTTCAATAATAATCGTTTTCTGCGGAAATCAGCTGTACAGCAATTTTCATCAGCACTGTATTTCGACTGAAAAAAGCGTCTGAAGCCAGTTCTTAGATGTTATCGGCGGTCAGCGCTGCTTTTTATTTGAGAAAAAAAAAGATGGTTGTTAATTACACTGCGATAAAGGTTTCATATTGTACGCACATCATTTGAAACTGCTTTGCCAACCATTTGTTTCTAGTCGATGTAAAAGTTGAAATCCTGCTGTTTTAGGTATTTTCGACTGCAGCAGATGGACAGACCCAAGTGGAAATCAAGGTGTATCAAGGTGAACGTGATATGGCAGCCAACAACAAGCTTTTAGGACAATTTTCACTGGTATGATTAGTTTCTGAGGATTAGAGTTGGGGACAGTGGAGTTACTGTATGCATTGTGTTAAATTTATCATTTATTTGTTTGCGTAGGTTGGAATACCTCCTGCTCCACGCGGCGTACCTCAAATTGAAGTGACATTTGACATCGATGCGAATGGCATTGTTAACGTATCGGCAAGAGATCGAGGAACTGGCAAGGAGCAGCAGAGTTAGTTCTCTCAGGACTGTTCGTCCATTTTCTTTTTTTTTAGATATAAGGAGGTACTCAAATTAATCGGTTATGAGATTTTAGTTGTGATTCGTTCATCGGGAGGCTTATCGAAAGATCAGATTGAAAATATGATCCGTGAAGCGGAAAAGAATGCCGCAGCTGATGCAGAAAGGAAAGAAAAAGTGGAAGTGTGCAATCAGGCGGAGAGTGTTATACAGGATACAGATTCCAAGTTAACTGAATTCAAAAGTCAGGTGGATGCTAGTGAGGCAAGTTTTTATGAACAGTTAGTTTGCTTTAGGCGTTTCTACTGATTGGAAATTGGTGAGGTGAAAAGTGGTCTGAGTGAAAACTGGTGAGATAAAAAGTGGTGGTACAGGAAACAATGACTGTAAATGCCAGTTCGCTTACTGATGTTTTGCGCAACTTAGAGACAACGGAGAGTGGATTTTGACAAGATAAACCTTTTTGCACAGGGAGCTC